AGTGCTTTACAAATAAACAACTGCCTAACTGAATAACCTCACCACATCCTCATGCGCCGCATATTTGTTCCGTCTAACACATGGCTTCTGACTTGTGGCTTCTCATAGATTTGTCACAACATCTGCTCTCCTGTTTCCACTTGTTTAAAGTTTGGATTTATAGTAACAGATTATATTAGATTGTGTAAGTTCAGGTGGAGTGCTAGTTCTTGCTGTTTTTTTCAGATTGCTGTGCAAACCAATGTTCGGTGAAAGCCTCTGAGTCTTTTACAGCAGCGGTCCCCAACCGTTTTTGCACCATGGGCCGCTATATGTCAGACAATATTTTCACGGACCGGCCGGGGGGGGGCATAAAATCAAATAAAAACAGCATAAAAATAAAACAACAAGCCGGTCCCATCTAGGTGTAATCGGAGAAAATGACAGACGAAGTGTGCTCCTGATGTCCAGTCTGTTCCGTAGCTTTGTTTTGGTCGCTGTAACCGCAGAAAATCTCTCTTCACAAAGATAGGATGTTATAGATAGGATGAGGCATGAACTGAATTAACCTGTGTCAAGAGGCACAGATGCACCGACTGATGTAATTGGTAGAGAATACCGCAATTTTTTATAAAAAAAAACATCACTCAGACTCTGATCGTCAATAAATTATATATATATATATATATATATATATATATATATATATATGTATATATACACTTTTTTCCTGTGTGACCCGGTACCAAATGACCCGCGGACCGGTGGTTGGGGACTGCTGTTTTACAGTATAGCTGAGTTTATACTGAGATTTCAATATACGCAGGTCAATTTCTTTCACTTAAATATCTTTATTCCGCTTTATCATTTAGAACTTTGAGTTGGTTCAAAGCATAGAATCACAATGAAATTAATTGAGGCCTTTGAATGTAGCATGAAAAACTGTGAAAAACTGAATTAAATTATTTAGCAAAGGCCCGTTAACTACTCATATATTCAAAACTTCTTGGAAATATTTAACCATGCCAACCTGAACCCTAAAGACCTAATTTGAAGTCATACTCACAACCTGTTAAGTACTCAAACTCTGAATTGGATGATGTCTCAACAGGTCCGTTTGTTTTCAGCTGTCTTTAATTTCCAGAGACAAAACACAACCGTGTCATGGGCAGAGTATGCAATTCTGAAATTCTAAACAAGTATTGTCATAGAAGTTTTTTTTTTTTTTTTTTTAAATCAGCACTTACACTAGTTGCAATACAGCTTTAAATTTTTTTGGCTTTGACAGTTTGACCTGTGAAACATTTAAAAAAATAACCAAGCTAATACTGTCAGAACTTTGGACCCAGAATTTTAGGCAGACAGACTGAGGTTATCTACAAAAGTGTTTATTGACAACACGTCGAATCTGTGACTCGAAAGATGCCGGAATCTTTGGTTTTAGAGTTATGTCCGAGGGGGGAAAACAGCTTAAATAGAGGCAGGAGCAGGTGGATGAGATGAACACCAATGAGAAACTTGGCGGAGCTGGTCAGGTGAATAGAATTAACTATTAAGCCAGGGATGAGTGCCAAGATCATGCCAAAAACTTTAAGCACAATCACAATTATATTAAACAAGCTACATCTGGATGCATTTAATTATATTTTAAATTTGTTTTCTATTTCAATGTTTATATATGTTGACAATAACACAATCTGATTAAATGAACGGCACATTATGCAAGTGGGAATCAATAAAACGATTTTTAGCAGTTGAAATATTTACATTTATTAATGTATTTCTAATTAGAGTTGATACTGCTTTCAGAGAACAAAATCTTAGTTTGCACAGCTATAAACCAATAGCTTTTTCTCACTTTTGGCACTCCATGGAAACATGAATATGAGATTATGGCCACTGAGTTTCATGATGGAATGAAATTAATACATATACAGTAGTTCCATAAAGAATATTCCTGCAGACATACTATTGTTACCTATGCTAGTGTTACAAAGTGGCAAACTAGATTTTCATTAAGTTATATTAGTAGGATCTCTCAAAGTCTTCTATTAGGTCTGAAATGATGGAACAGAAAAACAACACTGCCTAAAGGTTATTACAGCATCACCTTCTTTTTGCTGTTTTTATTTTTGATTGAACCACCATTATAAGTTTTGCTAAATAATCTAATTCGAGTGAATAGAACATTGAAAACTAACAAATCAGATGTGTAAAATTCTATATCAAAACTACTAATGTTGTACAGGAAAGCCTAATGCTACCCCATGATCTGGTTTTAAAAAAGGGGCATGTTGTGACTATTGAACCATCGTCATCATCTTGGTCTTGGTTGGTCTTGAATTTGCTTTGTTATGGTTAAAAGGTCAGGTAGCATATTAAAAACACATGTCTGTGAGGAATATCTGTCGCAATCCAAGACACAGTTGTGCGAAACCTGCAAATTATAGCCCGTAATTATTGCCAGTTTGCAGCCAATTCAACCTGGAGAGAGTCACACAGTAAACAGCTACAAATAAAAAAGAATTACATTTATTGATACAGGTAGCACAATCATATTCTTCAAAAATATTTCTATATAAGGAAAACCAGCTCATTGCGAGAACTAATTAGCACTCTGCAATCCCTTACCCTCTTCCAAATTGAATTTTTGCTTAAGCTTCATGAGTCAACAGGCTGGTAAAAAAATCAACTTGACCACATCTGGTACTGAAATTCTGGTTTAGTAAAGATGTTTAAGTATAGTGGTGTTATTTTGCATGTATGGGCATGACAGATATCAATGCTAAGATGAGCCAAAAAGCAAACCTCTCTGGTCCAACAAATACAAATCCTCTATTTGTAGCAGAGAGACGTGGATTCCAGTTAAAGAGCAAGATTCCTGCTTGCTAAGTCTCCTCTTGGTTGTGGTAGTTTTGGTTGTTCCTGGTATGGCTAGATAGATTATTTCATGGCTGGGATTTCTCCCTTTGACTGCCTTGGTGTTAACTAAATATAACTCTGCACTTAATTGTGACAACTTTTCTCTTTAGGAAAGGCTGATAATCGAGGTCCAGAAAGTAAAAACCCAGCCTTATTGTTCTTCATTATGTTCACTTAACCAGGTGATTAGGCCTAGGCCTGAGAGCCGGAAATGCAAATGTTAAAAGTAATCTCTGTAGAAGCTTTTTACTTTCTGAACTTGGATTATCCATCTCTGCTCTTTATAAGTTTCTTTTATGGATAAACAATGTTCTTTAGACTCTGTTTAACATTGAATATATTAATAATATGGTATTATATTATTATATTATAAATTTGCTAATTAATATTATATTAATATTATTCAAATATTATTAATGATATATTGAATAACATTGAACATATTACAATTTTTATTGTATAAAGGATGGTGGAATGTGACGCTTTGATATAAATAGGCTCCAAAAAGTTAGGCATAAGAACATATATGACAAATAATTTGCCCAAAGAATATTGATTTCAAATACGTAATTCAGGGTTGGAATTTGGGACAAACCTAATCAAGGCATTATGATGGATCCAACCATCTTTGTACTAATGATTTCGGCTGATGGGGATAGTATAATGGTGTGAAAGATTTTTTTTTTAGCACATATATATCCTTAGCTTGTGTAAACACCTCAGACTACCTGAGGATTTTTGCTAAGCAAGTACATGTCTTAAAGGCCCTCATACACCCATATTTTGATGGTTGCCTCCAGCAGGTTAATGTATCATATACAAAGCTCTGATTACATCAGAATTATTGTTGATCATGTTTGTGAGTCCAATGTACTCCGATGTGAAACAAAGTTCCCAAATCTCTTCCTACTGGAGCAGAGCTGCACATTAAAAAATATTAGTCATATTTCATTTATGATATAACTGCTTACTTTCTTCTTCCCTTTCTTCCTCTTGTGTTCTTTCTTAACTCTGTGACATTTAACATGTTGATTAATGCAATATGTGTTCTATGTGAGCATCTACCACCAAAAGACTCTGTTCAAGTGGATAAAAATGATAAAATATGCAAGTCTGCATCAACACTGTGATTGATAAAATATAATGTCGACGTAAATCAAATTCGGTGGGAAATGTACCCAATACTTAGTTAAATCTTTTCCAAAAAGAATTTAGTTGTGTCCCATGTGCCTAACCAAGTGTCTGAAGAGTGGGTGTTGCTCATTTGTTGGATGAAATAGAAAAGCTTTTTTAAAGAATACAGAAACTGAGGGATGTTTGAATAAAGACCAAGGAGTGATTTTTAAGTTAAGAAATGTGTCCCTTAGAATAATGTATAGATAGGTTTGCTTTGTGGATAGAGTTTATGTTGTTTACTTGGGTTTGTGCCTGGGGAGGTGATACCAAAGATAATGTTTTTGCTTAAAAATGATTCAAATTGGAATTGATGAAATTACTAATAATACACAAACTTCATAAATACTGTTTCACCAATTGCTCTTTTCTGTTTAAAAAAAATTCTGAGATATGCAGATGAAATGGCCTGCATTGTTTTCATGTTCTTAACCAACACATCCTCACTAGCAACTTGTAAAATACCAACTACTGACACTTGGCCTCTTGTCATATATTGACACGAAGGGAAAATGGCAGATTGTGGACATTTTATCACATGTCCAAGAACAAATACATTTTTCTTTTGCCTACAATGTTGGTTTGGCAGCTTTAGAAGGCTATGGTAACATGTGTACTTGTGTTTTTTTCAGGTTCAGAGATTTGGGTTAGTAGGAAGTTTTACTTTACAGTTCATTGAAAATCTTTCATTCCATCTTTCCTGTCACTATCTGTCGTGCAAGCTGTGCATCAATAAATGACCAGAGGGGACTTTGCAAAGAATGAATATTTAAGACTTAATAGTGAGACTGTATTGTCAAGGAAATGGTCCATTAAGAATGTTTGTATTTAGGAAAGCTTTTAAAACATTGCTTTTTATTGTTTGCCAAGTAAAACGTAAAGCACATGCAGCTTCTTCACTGATCATTTTTTATCTATTCCTCCAGGGGTGAAGGTTGAGGAAATCCAAATCTCAGGGTACATAGGTGATAGTGTTACATTGCCATCAAAAGCCGACCCATCCTGGGTTTTATCCAAAGTTGACTGGTCAATATTCACGAACAACACCTGGATTGCCACCTTTGACAACGGTAAAATAAATACAGATCGTCGTACAGAATACAAAGGGAGGCTCACTCTTGATGGCACCTCAGGTAAAATGGAAATTATATTTTGACACAATGAAAAGAAATGTTCATTCCTGTTTACAATGTTTTGTGTCTTGACAGGCGATTTAACCATTTCTAACCTGACCCAAAGAGATGCCATGACTTACACTGTAGATCTCGTCAATAAAAACAATGTGGACAAAGTCAACAAGATTATTCTAACTGTGAAAGGTAATTGTTGAGTGAAAACAGTTTTGCTTTTATTTTAATTTGTCATAGAAATATTTTTCTAACCATTGTTTAACATCATCCTAAGATTCCTTGTAAACTTTCTTATAATTACTGCATTATTTCTCATATAAATGTGATTTTTGTTTTGTTATGATAATAGGTTCAGGTTAAAAAAATCAATCTTTTAATTAATAATTGCAGAACACCTTCAGCAACCAAAAATCACCAAGATCCATTTTCCAGCAACAACAGATGGCTGTACTTTCGCCCTCAAGTGTTCTTCTCCAGATGATGGTGTTGATTTCACCTGGGATGTTAAACCTTCATGTCCTCATTGGAGCAGTTCCCAAACTGGTGCATCAGAGCTTGTAGTATTATCGTCAAGCTCTGTAAATGTTAACTGCACTGTCAGGAGAAAAGAGGAGAAGAAAACAACTGTTTGGGAATCAAGTTGTAATGGTGAGTTTTTAAGTTGGGACAAGAGTTCCCAAACTTCTCATGCTGCAGCACCCCAAACATCTTTAGCTTCTGGCTGAGGATCATCCTTTGTAAAATTACAGAAAAAGGATACAAAATATGCAAAGAAAATTTAACTTTGACAATAGTTCATCCTTACTTTGTTTCGATTTAAATTTTATTATGTTTGTTAAGCATACGAGTAACAACTACATTTGTTTTGACAGTCTATTATATTCCCATTGAATAACAAACTTTTTAAAAAGAACATAAAAGAAAGAAACCTGATTTTTGGTCACAGCAGGCAACATTTGTTGCACAATGTATGGAAACACACAGCATACTAGAGGATATAAGCACATATTGTGTTCTTTGAAAAAAATTAAAATGAAGGGAGAGCAAATACAGATCATATCAGATGTATTATTTGAAATTATGCAGTCAAGCAGAAAAGAATATACATTGTGCACCAAATGAAATAGACAAATATAAAAGAAACATTCTTGCAGAAGAAAAACTTTAAATCTATTTTTCAAAGTAAACCTTATGTAGCGATTACTAATTTTGTTCAATGAAGTGGGTCATGTTGGATAGAGTAGCCTGAGATTTTATTCAGCTAAAAGTATTGATACTTTACAATTATATTAGGCAGATTTTTTATACTTGTATATTTAATAAAGTGATAATATGGATAAATACAGTAAAGCTACTTCAAACATGGTGACTTAAGTCATAAAAGTAGTTGCTACCCAACTCCGCCAATCTTTCACTGACACAACATCAAATAACTAGAAAATTCCCCAAGGCAATTTTGGTGGTGCCTGCCACTTGGTTTTGTGGCAAAGCCAGGGTGGCACCAAAGATGTCATGTGGTTAGTTGAGTTAACCTGAGATCGGGTAAAAGCATGAAACCTTGTGATGACATACGTTACCATGCCAGGAGGAAACTTGGTTGTTCAGGCTTGATGGCCACTTGAGTCACCATACCTAGAGGCGACCAACGTCAAACAGCTGTTGGTGACTGGCATCTCCAAACCTACTGCTGACTGATGTGGCCAGACCTACATGTAGTGGCGACTAGGTTCATAATAAAGCTCCCTATAATACAATAAATTGGTGATTATACTATTTAGGCTTTTATTTTGTAGAGTATCTTGTGTCTTATTTTGAAGGACAAGCAGAGCTGTGTCTTTAACATAAGGGAATCTATTTACGATGGTTTAATCTATTTTTCCTTTATATTAGGTTAGTAGATGCTTCATTACAGCATAATTGGGAGAGCTTTATTTTTAAATGTGCACAAAAGTGTGTTGTGAAGGAAAAGGTCAGACAGTGATATGGAATTCATCTCAAATTGTTGAATCACTCTCTCTCCATGTTATTAGGTCAAAAGCAGTTTTATTACAGTAGAAATGGGAAATATTTATTGGGAAATTTGCAGTGGGGTGTGTTTTGAAAA